AGAAAAAAATATGATATAATAGAAATACATCCCATTTATCCATTTTAATGGGTGAAAAAGTATTCGTATAATTCAAATTTCCAATTTTAAAACATTTAAATTACTTAAATACTGTACATTATTAAAGTAGAATATTCTAATATGTTCCAATAATGTAAATCGTAGGTATTTGTAGCCTAACAAATACGAACAGAACATTCTGTAATTTATATTCGTGCAAGAAGGTTATCGTGTAAGGGGGTTAGAATTGAAAAATTCGCAAAAAAAAAAAAACAACAAAAAAAACAACTGATTGTTAAACTCTGGAAAGAAGGTAAAAGCTACCGATAAATATTTTAATGCGTCAACTTGAATATTCTATTTATAATCATTAGTTCATTCATTGCAAGGTATAAAAAAACTCATAACTGTTGAATACCAAAGAAGAACAGGTGCTCCACAGAAGATTACTTCAAGTTCTCTGAGGAAATTAATGCGTTAAATTAAGCAAAATCCAATGGTTACACGTCAAGAGTTGCAGGATTGTTTGCTTTCATCAGAAATCTGTGTCACTAAACGGACATTAAGCAATGTTCATAGGAATAATCTAAAGTCACTCTCATCTAAGAGAACTCCACTGCTATTGAAAAGATACAGATATGCTAGGGTGAAATTCGTTCGTCAACATTAGGAAAAGGAACAATCGTACTGGAAAAGAGTATTATGGGCAGACGAAATCGACATTAAGTTCTTTGGACATAATTATAGAAAGCATGTATCGAGGAAATATGGTGATGTCTTCAAACGAAAGAACACAATTCCATCAGTAAAATTTGATGGTGGTAAGATCATGGTTTGGGGATGATTTTTCTATAAAATATACTGGCACGCTCCAAAACATATATTCAACTGTCAATATATAGCATATTTTTTTTTAAATCTTTCGGTCTACACATATTTCCCATACATATTGCCTATCTATGCGAAAAACTGCGCCCTGAATCTGACAATATGAAATTGTCGAACGTACTTAGCATGTGCCAACAACTCGAATATAAGTATCTTAGGAATTGATAATAAGTTAATGTTTCATTAAGTTTTGTTAGCGAAGTGATTTCGCCATTAACCACATTAACATTGCTCTTTAATTCTTTTGTATAAACTACTATCATCTTCATGATATCTATCTATCTATCTATCTATCTCTCTCTCTCTCTCTCTCTATATATATATATATATATATATATATATATATATATATTTTGTATAATTAGGCAGCAATCCTTCCTTTATGCATTTTCATTAAAAACGACAGACAAGGTACTACAAAAAAAAAAAAAAGCTCAACTGTAGTACCTTGTCTGTCGTTTTAATGAAACATGCATATATATATATATATATATATATATATATATATATATATATATATATATATATAAAATATATAAAAAACATCACGCCTTGCTTACTGGTTCTACGAAACTCAGAAATTGTCTCTATCTACCTCTGATTATGTTTATGTGAAGGCGCTTCGAGCATTTTTTTTTGTTCTTCGATCCAAAATGACTTTCGGACAATTATGTGTGTCTCTGTATCTGTGTCTGTGCATATATATGTATGTATATATGAGAGAAAACAGTGATAATTTTTACATATATTCAGTTATTGAATATATTCCTTTTTAAAAAGAATTCGGGTGTAGATATGAATTCGATTATCAAAATATTTTCTTGCTACAGTTTGTTGATAGAAAGAATGTCATTGTGTTGCAAACAAGAAAATCGAAACAATAACAACGTTCTTCATTTCGTCGGGAAAAACAGCCATAAATCAGTGCCTCCGACTACGCCATTTTTTATACCATTCAACAAGACTAACATTCATCTATTTTCTCATCTGCATTTTGCATTCCCCCCCTCCTCTCTCTCTCTCTCTCTCTCTCTTTCTCTCTCTCTCTAGTTCATTCCTCCGTTTCTTGTATCTTTAAATTTCGTATTATTCTTGTTTCCCTTGGATGCAAGCAATAATGCTTTTGACCCCGTGTCATCAGGAAAATGTACAATCGTAATTCATCTGCTTCGCATTTCTAGGGGTATATTATTATTATTATTATTATTTACGATCTGGATTATTTTAGTATAGGGAAATTTGAGCAGACGAACTACAATCCTTAATTTTATATGTTCTAATTTACAGGGCTAAAATCCGCCATCTATACCACCCAGAATATATATATATATATGTAGAGAGAGAGAGAGAGAGAGAGAGAGAGAGATTTATAAAAGAGTGCTCAATACAAAGTAGAGCAGATCTGAATAGCTATTATAACATGACTTCGTGGTCAGGCTTTTTGAATTTTCCTATACTTGTATTTTGATTAGTCATTCTAGCTTTGGAACAATGTTTTCCCCTTCTGAAGGATCGTTAATTAATTTGAAACTTTTAAAACCATTTGTTTTGTATTCAACATCATCAATTGATAAGACACCGGGAGTATTGAAACAAAATGGCTATTTTTGTAGTGCTTTTATAACATGTTTATGTTATAAATTTTCTAAATAAATAATTATATATATATATATATATATACACACACGCACACACACATACACACACACACACACATATATATATATATATATATATATATATATATATATATATATATATATACTATAGCTAATCCCCATCAATCACTTCGTATTCCATTGGTGGGAATGTAAGATCCTCTCGAGTAGCTTCTCACGAATGACAGCTTTCCCGATCAATACAATCTTAACCTGTTCAAGTTATCGGTCAATCGTTATCATCCTCACATATCACATAAAATGTGCTTCTTACGTTGTAATTATCTATCTCGAGTGGCTCTTGGGCTTTTACAGGCTGAACACCACTATAAAAAAGAGTTATCCAATACAAGGATAAAGCCACTCAATATAGAATGTTACCAAGATTGCCGTAATCGAGGAAGAAGTAAAAACTGCACATTATAAAGGTGTGTAGGGTGGATTGGAAGGGGCCAATATTGTAGTCTAGTATATTGCTGCTGGGCTCAAATAAACCGACGAAAACATAACATATATATGTCATGCCAACAACATCATCGGACAGTATCTATTTTCTTTGTTTCTTACGAATTTGTCTTAATTCACAGCACTAAAAGGTATATTTCTCTTCTTCAATGCACTTTCGGATTTCACTATCACATTTTCTGTATTGTTAGAACACTTGCCATATAGTCGTCATTTTTGACTTGCTTGATTTTACCAACACGAAATTGTAGTTCCAATCTTGTGCTCATCCTCTTGCTAATGATCAGATATTCTGTTTCTTATAATATATTTTTAGTTCTTTTCCCTTTAAATTTACTATCTTGTCTACAGAGTTGCAGTTAATTTCTTTCTCAACGTCATCTGCATATTTTATGTGGTCAAGATTGTGCGCAATGATAGTAAATTCTGGTAATTTTCATTGTCTCGCCTAAAAGTTGAATAAATCCGTTCAAAAAAAGCATCCTTATCTTACGCCCCTTTCAATTATTTTTTGAATTTAATTCTTTTTTTTATCCGTACGCAAGTGATTTGCTACCAGGATATACTCTGGATTATTCCAATAGTCACTGTTTCTGCACAATTTTCATCTTGCCTATAAAAGTCGATCACACACAATTCCCCGTCTTGGGTATGACGATAAACTACATCCGCGTCCTGGGTAAGACGATAAACTACATCCAACAGCAAGGCCTCTGATCAGGAGTTTTTGATGAGCGTGGAACTACCTCTTAATTTCTGGTGTTCACATGTTCGCCCTGACCAGGGGTGGTAGCACCTGTAGTGTCCCAGCTATGGGTAAATAGTTAACCCCCAAACTGGAGTCAAAACACTATGAAAGTGTAAAAATAGGTTTTAATACCAGAAATACTTTGTAAAAAAATTATTACCAGTAATAAATTTTTGAAGAAAATAATTATTACTAGAAATACATTATTACCAGCAATACATGTTTGGAGAAAAAAAAATTACCAACTATACATATTTGAAAAAAAAATATTACCAGCGATATATTTTTGAAGAAAAATATTACCAGAAATAAATTTTTGAAGGACAAAAATATTACCAGCATTACATTTTTTAAAAAATAATATTACCAGCAATAAAAATTTTGTCGTCGCTAAATAACACATTGAGGTTGATATGCCGTAAAACAAAACAAAACAAACCAAACCAAAAATTCACACTATTATTGTTTTTCTCTCTGCATTTCTGAGTGAAATTGTTGTCATTATTTACGATATGTACAGTAGGACTAATATCCTCATCTTTATTTCACGACCACAACGTTTCAGTTTTTTGCGCCTTCTCGTCTCTTCAGGCGTCTGTCCACCAGTTTAACCTTTATGGCCTGAATGAGTTGTTTTTACCCCTTATGAAAACTCTACATATTATTTAAATCTAAAAAAAATATTTTTAAGATCGTAATAATTGGTTTGAAGGTAGTAAGATAGAGATTTTACTAATTAATCCATACCTGGGAGTAGACGATGTGGTTGGTTTGGAGATAATAATAGTTTAGTGATACAAGTCTTACTACGTAACCCATAGCTGGGGATAGAAGATGTGGAATTTTTAGAGATAATAATGGTTTACTAAAACAAAGCTTACTAATTAACCCATAGCTGGGAGCCTGAGATGTGAATTATTTAGAAATAATAACTCTTTAGTGATATATGTTTTCTTAATTAACCCAAAGCTGGGGAAAAAGGGACGTTTTTTTTTTAAATGATAATGGTTTAGTTATAAATCTTAGTAATTAATCCATAACTAAGAAGATGTGAAGTGTTTGGAGATAATAATAGATTATGGATACAAGTATTATTAATTAAAAACATAACATGTAAATTCGTATAATTTTCCAAGGGTATCTGCGCGTAAGTGAATAGGAGAAACCCAACGGGAATTAGAAACCGGCTCCCTGATTAACAATTCCGAGCCATTATCTATTACAACGTCTGCACATCCAAGCTTACGGCATCTGGTATTCCCAAGCAGTCATCCATCTAGGTACTGACCAGGCTCGACATTGCTTAACTTCGATGATCGTACGTGATGTCACTCTAAGGCTCTTAATCCTCATGGAATTTCAAAGTGAACACTTTATTCAATTTTAGAGTGTAGCTTGTTAGCAGTGAGTATTTCTTCCTCAGTTCATCTCTAGAAATATATCGTCTTATTCTCAGATATTGCTTATGTTATCTTGCCACTGTGTCTCTACTACTGAGAGCAAGGCCTCTGATTTAATTGTTGTTCCCAACCCGGGGTGGTAGCACCTTTTAGAGTCCTAGCTATGGACAAATAGTTAACCCCAAAACTGGAGTCAAAACACTATGAAAATGTAAAAAAAGGTTTTAATACCAGCAACACATTTTTGTAAAAGATTTTAACCAGCAATGAATTTTTGAAGAAAAAATTATTACCAGCAATACATTTTGAAAAAATATTACCAGAGATACATTTTTGAAAAAGAAATATTACCAGCAATATATTTTTGAAAAAAAAAAAAAATATTACCAGCAATATATTTTTGAAGGAAAGTATATTATCAGAAATAAAATAAAACTTGTCGGCATTAAATAACCCACTGAGATTGATATGCCGTAGAACAAACCAAACTATACTACTGAGCTCAGTGATAGAAATCACAAGTCCTGTGCTTGCAATTTTTATCATGGACATATTTCTTCATGAGAATTTGCAACTTATCAGTTGAGAAGGTTTTCTCTCAAGATTTAAAAAAAAAAAAAGTAGATCAAACAGATTATTCGTCGTTGGGAAAATGATAAAATACATCCATAATAAATATTTTATAAACTAAATAACGTTGGGAAGACATCCCATGTCATAACGTTCTCGGCTCTGTATTGCTAAATTTTGATGAGTTCAAAGCAGAGGGAAAGAGAGAGAGAGAGAGAGAGAGAGAGAGAGAGAGAGAGAGGAGAGAGAGAGATTACTTACAATATACCTCTCCGCATAAGATGTTATATTGAACTATGTATAAAATATTTAATATGCGTATAATATATTTAATAGACATTCAAAACACATATAAATCCTCCATACATGCTTTTCTTTTTAACCGCGACATCTGATATCACTTTGAACTCATTCGAATTCAAATCTTGGGAACGCCGGGATTTCGTCACATCCTTTTGCTTGAAATACTGATAGCCCCTGGTTTTTGATAATGACAAAGTTAGCCGAAAGAAACAGAACAAAAAAAAAGAACTTTTAAAATTTATTCCTAATTTTAATCAAGATATATAATATCACGTTCGCTATTTCGGTCACGTACTGCGACGACCTGATCACCATCTTACACGTTATTACAAGTCTGACTTACCTACAAGTGACTACCTTCCAGCAAATGACGCGGCCGCTGAATGAACGTCCCCCGTCTACAGAAGATTAAACAAGTGCTGGAGGATTTTCCAACGCTCCGTCAAGACCTTGAAAGCTAGAAATACAAGTTGGCTCAACACGGCATGACATTATGAATCCTGAACAGTCACTGCATATATAAGCATTAAATATATATATATATATATATATATATATATATATATATATATCAAATATGTGGTGCAGTTCAATTTATATAACAATGATGAATTCATACAAATGTAAATTAGTAAAGTTAATGACATAAAATGGCGAAATCCCTTCGTTGATAAAATATAAAAACAAAATATATATATATATATATATATATATATATATATATATATATATATATATATATATATATATATATATATATATATATATATATATATATAAAAGAAATATGTTGTAGTGGTTCCAACGAGAGAAAAGTATGTATATTAAAAAGAGGAGGGTATGTATATTAAAAAGAAGAGGGGTGCCGCAAACGTTTTTGGTTGTAATGTGGATTTATTGAGAAAAAATATTATACTTTGTTTTACATAATTTCACGACACGTGTTTCTGGTCTGGTCTCGCAACCGTCTTCAGGTGAAAGTGGAGATTTTTACATATTTCTAATCTATCCTCTATTACTATACGGACCGCTATTCTCTCTTCGGATTACTATACGGATTACTATTCCAGCGAGTATTATCGAGCAAGTACTATTAGTGTGACTTCTATTCGAAGGCGTCTGATCCCAGTATTGTTCAACGTTGTACTACAGTTGTATCTTCGATTACAAAGTCTCTACTACAACGAGCATTACGAAAGTGATAACGAGTATTCGTTGGCATCACAATAGTGGCAACGAGTGTTCGTTGACATCACAGAATTTATTTAAAGTCGAAACATAATTCAAAATGTAGGAGGTTGCTTACAGTAGCCGGTGTTTAGAAGCAGTCTCCCAACCAAGTACCGATCGCGCTAGACCCTGCGTAACATTGATGATCGAACGAGAACCGTTGTTTTCAAAGTGATTTAACCATAAGCCATTCGGAAATGAAGGATATCCGGGAGATTTTGTGACGTTATTTCTCTCACTGTCGACAGCGTCTATTCGCTACTGACGATAGTTGACTCAACAGACTTTTTTCTTTCTTTTATTTGCCATATCTCATCAGCACATGGAGGATCAAGGCTCTCCACATCTCCTGCTACTGTCATTCAAAGTAAATTTTCGCCCATGACCATTCATCTTTTCTTTTCTTTTTTCTTTTTCCGGTATCGCTTCACGCAGACTCGTCAAACAGATTACATACTGTTTCCTCAGGCTTCCCATTACCATTAATATGCCACATGAGATCTAAATTCTCTTTGAATTATTTTCTTATTATGTTTTTCAGAAATGCCAACAGTCTCTTTTTAAATTTCAGTACCAGTTTATTTATAGTTCTTATTTAATTACAGCGAGGAAAAATGAATTCACTAAAACGTCAAGTAAAAGAAAAATACAATTATACTCGTGGTACAGAAATAAAGTAAAAAATCATTTTTAAAAAGTGAAAATGTATTTGTTTGAGTATATTGCTGAAATGTGTGTATTTTCTTTTAACATGTTTCTAGTTAAGTCGGCATTCTCATTGATTTTATTTATCTACCTCGATCCAGCTCTGACGAGTGTGGAGCAACAACCGGGTAACTCATTCCTTTCACTTTTTTTTTTCTTTTTGCTCTTTCTATTTTCGTATAAGCTGGAGCGGTACAATGAACCAATCATTTTTTTCTAGAATCTTTAACAACACATCGTATATATGAGTTCTACTCGCGGTCTGGGGTAAGCAAAAGACGTTCAAAGCATAGCGCCTCTTTGAGAGAACACAAGTCTATCAAGATACGTGAAAATTCAAGGTCTGATCTCTTATGAAGGAAAGGTTTCTTAATCATTTCCCCCCAAGAAAAGCGGGAATATCACAGAGGTTTACAGTGAGTGAAAGTCAGAGAAAAGAGTTTAGGTGGGGTGGGGGTAATGAAGAAAGAAGAAAAGATGAAGGGGATTCAAGAAGATAGAAGATGACGACTGACGTCACATTTAAAATTTTGAAGATTGTATTTATTAAGGTAGCAAATAAACGGAAGGGATATGCACGGGCGAGAAGTGCGACAAAGGGAATCTTTGGAGAACCATGAAAGAAAAGGTCTGAGCAGTTGTCTTGAAAATATGTATAGATAAGACAGGAAGCCATGTCAGGTCGCTGAGAAAATGACTGAAGTCAAGATGCCAAATCAAGATCTATTACATTAAAGATCTTTTTTGAGGTTTTCTCAAGAATCTGCAGATATACAGCAGGGGTACCAGGCCAGATATGGCAACAGTATTCCATGCACGGACGAATGGTAGATTTGTAAATGTGCAAGATGGAATCTGACGAGAAAAATTGTGGGTCATGACACAGTGACCCAACATTCCTTGTAGTAGAAGCAGCTATTGATTTGATGTAGTCGCTCCACTTAAAGTCAGTGTAAAACGTGAAGCCAAGAAGATGCAATGTGTTTCTCTCCTGTAGTCTAACGTCAAGCACGCCGATCGCAGGGATAAAAGGTTCTCTGTAGTGGTTAAATTAAAGCAGTTTAGTTTTGGCAGCATTAAAATTTACAAGCCATTTCCTGCCCCAGTCAACTATTGATTGAAGGTCCTTTTCGAGAGCAGCTACCAGTTTTACTTTGTCAGATCTGACGGATTTGGTATTGAGACAGGAGTAAATGGTAGTTTCATCTGCTAAAATACCTAGTTAGGAACTGATGACATCTGCATAAATACCTAGTTAGGAACTGATGACATCTGCATAAATACCTAGTTAGGAACTGATGACATCTGCATAAATACCTAGTTAGGAACTGATGACATCTGCATAAATACCTTAGAACTGATTTTTCGCAAATACCTAGGAACTGATGACATCTGCATAAATACCTAGTTAGGAACTGATGACATCTGCATAAATACCTAGTTAGGAACTGATGACATTTTCATAAATACCTAGTTAGGAACTGATGACATCTGCATAAATACCTAGTTAGGAAATGATGACATTTGCATAAATACCTAGTTAGGAACTGATGACATCTGCATAAATACCTAGTTAGAAACTGATGAAGACCAGAAACAACATAAGAACCAGTATAAAGCCTTCGGAGACACCCGCGTTCGTGCGAAAGGATCTGGAAGCGATCCTGTTCAAAATGACATTCGTTTCAGGATTCGATAGGAAGGATTAGATTAAATTAAACTTTCGTCTGTTAACACCGTAACCCTAGAGCTTGCGTATTTACCAAGCGTTCTAAATCCTGTCGAACCGCTTCAAGAGATCTAGAGCCATTGCTCAAGCTTTGCCGTTCTTATCTAGAGCTTGAAATGCAAATTTAGTGATGGTCGTTTACACATCAGCGGTAAAACTGTCAAAACGGAAGGTATATTGTTTGTCCGAGAGGAGGCCGTGGGAAGTAAGATACATAAACATTTAAGCATCGTTTAGAGCCTCGAATACTTTATTAAAAAGCGGTAAGACACTAATAGGTCGATAATTTGAGGGGTCAGATAGTTCTTCAGTATTTTAAAAAGAGAAAATACAGAGCAGAATTTAACAAGCTGGGAAGAAAGAAGCAGCGAAGCAATTGTAAAGTTTGAA